CCTGGTGGTTGTTTCTTCTTTTAAATGCTACTGTGAAGACTAAGGCCAGAGTTTTCCATTGCTAGTTATGAGCAAACTTCAAACTTAGAATAAGAAATCACATGAACAGAAGCAACTGCTTCTGCCAGAAAAGGAGAAGCAAAATATTTCTAAGCTATTGCCCCACAGTCATTTTAGCCCTACAGCCAGATACTCCAGTTCTTCTCCCAAGGATAGACCAAAATGCAAAACTGCTACTGCTTTAAAAAGTCTTTTCTGCTGCAGAAGCAAATACAAATACAGCCAAGATCCTTTTTTTGAATGCATACAACTGGAGCCTCTGAGCACTTCAATGAGGAGGTGATTTTTGCTGCCTCTCACCAAGCACTGCCAGTTGTCTCATACACACTCAGAGCTCCACATCATGAACAAACCTAGAATGACAGACTTCACTACTGAGGCAAACAAAATGTTTCTGCAGCAGTCTTCTCTGACTGGCCCAGCACCCAGAAAGAGATCATGAATAAGCAGTTCTGACATGCAAATAGTCTTTCTGAAAGTATTCAGATGAAAAACTTCACCAACCCAGTTTTATGTGCTGGTTTACACAAAACCAACATGAAATGCTTGTGAAGGGTTCAAGGACCTCTCCTCCATGTAGTCCCACATGTCATGTACAGTCAGCACAAGAGACAGGTGCACAATATGACCACCTAGCCCAGCTATGGTTTTGTTTCACCAAGTATATGTATAAGAACATGAAGCAAACAGCAGAGCATTGGACAGTGACAGAAACAGAGGCTGGCTGTGAAGATGAACACATACAGTGACTGGACCTCAAAAGCTGCAAGCTTAAATTAATGGTTGTGACACTGACACATACAGGATGTTTAAGGCTAAGGATAAGGAAGATACTAAAACCAGAAGGCCAACAGTACACAAAGACAGACAAAGGATTAAAAAGGTTCATCAAAACAAATTATATGGAAGGCTTTGGAATGACAAAGTGGAACAAAATTCAAAAGGAAGGCAAAGAATATCTCAGTGCAAAAGTAGAGAAAAGATGGAGCAAAGAACAAGACCATGCACGCTCCCATGCAAAGTGAGAGGTTCTTTTGTCATCTCAGCAGAAACAAGAATGAACTTGTATGCAAATTTAGGCAGCAAAGCTCATCTCACCACTGTGAGCTGTTACCAAGGGGAAATAGCCAGCTTTTACTGTACACACTATCTACTCTTGCAGAGAGTGGAAGAGTAGACTTCCACCAGCAATTAGGAGGAACCTGTCCTCACAGGCCAGAATCTTTTGCAGGTATCTTGGAACAAATTCAGGGCTTTGCAGTTTGCTTGCTTGTCATTTACTTCTCAGCATCTGCCAACATCCTTTCCAGTCCAAGAAACCAAATGATTTATCAACAAAAACTTGACTTCTAACCCCTGTACCCTCAAAGTCTTAAAAACATTAGTATTTACTATTAGAGAAACAATCCTGCAAGTGTGGCAATGGATGTTCACATTTTTCTTTCTTGTAAGTTGTCCATTAACATTAATTTCTTCAGGTAATATTTATCTTCTTCCATGATAGTAAAATCATAAGACACACTAACTGGAATGAATTCTGTATAACAGACCTGTAAGAGATCCTTTCAGAAATGTCATGATCTACCCTGCCAGCAAATATCTGTACCAGCCTTTACCCCAAGGATGGCTAACCAAACATAAAATACAAACCTAACCTAGAAGTTACCTAAATTTTGAGCATTCTGCTGGGACACTTAAAAGAATACGATGTCACAGACACAGTAGACAGACAATAGGTAGCTACCTACCAATTTTTAAGAAGCCAAGTTTCCCAAACATTTCTTTCCAGCCCGTAGTTTTTATTATGTGAGCACTAAGTTCCAAGGATTAAGTTAAAGTTTTACAACTTCTACTTATGTACATATTTACCTTTAAATATGAAAAAACCTAAAAGTATTTTGAAAAACTGTGGTCCTTGAAGAGAACACCAGACAAGTTTATAATCACATCAGAATGGGCCATTTTCTGGAAATATTTAGTAACTAAGAAAACTATGTGACCATGACTTTTAAAAATTAATATGTGTAGTGATATCCATTTATTTACTTAGTAGCAGAGCCATGAAGTGATCAGAAATACCAGCTATTTCAAATGGCCACATGAATTGCTGCAATTCATATGGTCTTAAATTCCTAACTGAAATAGCTGCTTTCCACTCTCACTGTTTCCTAGTTTATTCCAGCATCTATTCTTTATGACACACTACATTAACAATGTTTGTTAGACATGTTTCAGTAAGCATTTAAAGTACTCCTTGGAACACTAAGTCACTGTGTCCCCAGACTGGTACTAAGTCCTGAGGAATAAACACATTCTATCAGTTCTGATTTGTATAGAATATATAGGATTTATAAACAGTCACATTAATTCTTAAAATTTTGACACCTGAAGTACCTAATATCCACCATAACTTAAAATGACTGGCAGGTCAACACTAATAGGAAAAACTGAAGTAGTTAAATATTCATCAAAATTGAAAACAATTAATAAGCTTAAAGAAGCAAAAAGCTAAGATGTCTCAAAGGAACCACTCTGTCATTGCCAAGACTTCAACTACAATTTGGTTTAAAAAAAAAAACAACAAAAAACCCCTAGTCTATATAAAAAAGCTAGTCTACATAAAAACCTGATAATTTCATAAACATCAACAATATTTCAAAACTTATACTGTATATAGGACCAAGAAACATGATTTTTCTTAGTCTTTATTCTTAGGTCAAGACCATTAAACTAAACTGAACAGGAATGTTGATAAACCAAAAGAATTTATTTAAGAGATTTTTGGGATTTGAGTAGTGAGAATACACTTTACTTAAGTGTCTCCTTCTGTTTATTGTACTCTTACCTCAAGAAAATAAGAGCTGATTGTGTCTCCTTTCTATTGCAAAAGACGTTTTTTGTTATTAGATTCAAATCAAAAACGATTTTATACATTTATATGTCTATTAAGCCATGCAAGGAAACATCCAAATGCATGTTAGCAGAGGAAGCATGAAACCAGAAAGTTGAGGTCTGACCATTAGAACTGAAATTTGGCTGCACCAGCCAGACCATTGTCCTCCTTGGAGAAATCCCATGTTACAGAGGTCCTGCTTCTGTTGGCTGAAAGAAAGCCTGCAACTTACAAATATGCACATGAAGATATTGAAAAAAAACTAAAAACATGCCCAAAGCATTCTGCCCAAAACTTCCCAGCTATTAAAAGGTCCTGAAAAGCAGCACAGTTTCAAAATTTGTTAACACTTCATGAATTTTTCCAAGTCCCTTATCAGTTTCATGAGAAACTTTGCACATGGATAAAATACCAATAAGTTTGGATTGTGTGTGCAATGATCAGATGCCTAGGAATATGTATGGGTATCATATACACATATCCACACACCCAACCATGAATACAGCAGAGGCTCCTTTAGTTCTTCTTAAAGATACTGTCCCTTAACCCAAACTTCCTCCTGAGAAAAAAAAAAATGTCTTTTTGAACAAAACTACAATATAACTTTAAATGTATACTGGCCAACCTGACCCAAACCAGACAACTGTGCTGAGTGACTCCTTTTGCTTGAGACAGCAACTCAAATTCCCCATCTTCTCCAGTATCTCTGTCTTATCAATTAACACCACAAGTTGCACAGACTAAAACTCCTGTAGGTAACAACTAACTTTCCATGACTATTAATCTTGACTCTGAAGCCATGTGATAAATGAGCTAGGAAAAAAGGAAGATGGAAACAAAAGCTACTAACCTTGTGACAGCATCAATACACAAAGACATCCCATAAACAGCACACACAGGAAATTAAATTGGGAAAAAGAAACAATGCAAGGGCTCACAAGCTCCAAAGTAAAAGGAGAAGAAACACATGGGGTGAACCAAGAGGCTACATGTACATGGGGAAGCAGAGGTGTCAAAGCAAACCAAAAGCTACTGAAGGTTATAACCTTTTGACAGCCTCTTATGACAGCAAGAAAGAGGATGGAAAACATGGGTAAAGCTGTTTGCCAGTAACTGGTGAACACAGTGTGGTGGTGCTTCTGCCCGATAGTGCCATATATTTAAAAGAGCAATTTTAGAAGGATAACAGGGGTGATTAATCTTTATTACAAGCTTACATCAAGTAACTCAATGTAGGATAGAAACAAAGAAACAAAAAAAAAAAAAAAATCAAACCAATTTTTAACCTTGAATAAAATGTCCTAGGTTTTCTAGCTAGAGCAGTAGCTTCAAGATCCAAATGCTATTTGGTGGTGACTAACAAAACTTTGTTTAGCAAAGGTAATTTCTTATGATTATATAATATCAAATATGTTGTCCCTCCCCCCCATCTTAAATATTCTATTGGTGTTTTATGAAGAACATAAATTTTACATAGTGAAAACAAATGTGATCCATGCAACAACATATGGGAATGAAGATGTCTTTTGTCAAAGTGATTTTCACACAATTATTTTTTAATGATTCAAGTTGTTAACATGAATTATGAAAAAATAAACAATATTAACTTTTGTTTTTATACTTCTGCACCAAAATTTAGAATATACTGTTTCTTTTCCTCAACAAATATGAAAACATCAAAAATGAAAATTTGACCAGGAAAAAACCCAAAGAGATACTTTGAAGTCAGGATATAAGAAAATCCCTTAAGTATGACTAGATATACAGGATTGACTTGGATTTACTGTAACTTAAATACTGCAAAGGGTGATTATTTAAAGAGAAGATTTCTAGAGTTTAATTATTTCTTTTGAAATAAATGTTTGTAATATTTGTTTACATAACAGGGCTGCAAAAGAATGCAAGGGTTGCACAGCAGGAAGGACTTCACTCACACACAGTACAGAATCTCTTGAACAGGGCTGAGTTGTGTGAGAGCCAAGGTTATAGAAGTGGGAAATGAAAGGCAGAAGGAGGTACCCGAGCATGAAGGGCCCACTTTACTCACAGAACTCCTCCTCCAGGAGGTTTGTGTGAATTTATCGGCACGCGCGCGCACTGCCCCTGGAGGCTTTTGACTGTCCTTCTGGCAGTTACATCTAGTGGCCTTAATCACCCCCAAAAAGAGAAAAACAAACAAGAATTAGTTAGAAATTAACCAAGTGAGCTGTTGAAAAGCACAGTCAAGGCCCAGTGTTCAAATATCAAGCATGACTTGACTGTAGAGCACAATATGATTAAACTGCAGAAACCGCTATTTACAGTGCTGCACAACTGCTGCTTTTCCCAAAGGATACTGAGAAGTAATCCAGAATAAATACTGACTTTTGGAAAAAGTTTTTCCACTTAAATTTCTGAAGCACTGAGTTCTTCAAGTCATCTTTCAGTCGTTACAAATGTAAGTTTTACCCATCTCTACAGCAGAGTTCCTCAGCTGCAGCAGGTACAGGTTAGTCCAGCAATCAGGTACACGACCAAGCAGCGAAGGAGAAACTTCCTTCAAGGAATTTTGGCTGACTGTTAAGAGTGAGACTAAGTGTACCCAAAACCCAACACTTACTGCTAAATGCTAACAAACAAGCTAATTTGGTTTGCTATTCTGTGATCTGGGATTCTGCTGTTTAAACAGCAGAGCAAAGGCCAAACCTTCATCTTTCAGTTTTGTTTTAGAGGGAACGTTCCCAAGCCAGAGAGGGAGAGGATGAAGGCCACAGCTCAGTTTTACTGCACACACCTACAAAAGCACATGTTTAACATTTCATTACAGCTTATGGTCACACAGGTACTGTCTCCACCTATGAAAAACATGTATGGTGTGCACCTCTTGGCATCTCATCTACCCTGCCTGTGAGATCTTGATGTGGCTTAAAAATGTGTGCCTGTTTTACAAGAATGGTCACAGCAGGCGAATTTAACAAAACCAAATGCAAAGATATGCATGGCAAATCCAAACTCAGAACAAGAGCAAAAAGGTAAAAGGCACATGTAACTTTTGCTCGAGGCTTTGTGCTCCCCTGAACCTAATTTATGATGAAGTGACCCCATAACTTGTTCCTAGTTGGCAGATTTAATCTGAATATTCAACTTGTTTTGTATTGTTTCCTTAAAAAACAATCAACTTAGAATACTCAGCTTAATTCTAAGCTTAGCTTTCAATTCTATGGTGTAATTCTTTATTAAGTAGAGGAAGAAAAAAAAAAACAGTAACAAAAACTTCAAGCAGAATGATAGGCCCAATATTCGTGCATTTTTTAAATACTTCAAGTGTAGCCTTATCTTTTCCTCACTGTTTTTTCTAAGCAGCTCCTAGAATTTTATGTTCAAAACTGTTTTGGAAATTAAATACTTTCAACAGCATTACAAACATCCTTGCTTAGTGCCACACAAAATCATGACCAGATTATGGAATTAAAGATCCCAGGAGTACAACTGGGAACGCAAACCTACCTTTGTAACAGTGAAAGTACAGGGAAAAAATAGCTAAAGTCTCTTAAAGCTTTCATCAGTACTGCCTATTGAAGTTGCACTCTGCAGTGCACACCTGGGACTTGGCTAAACATTTTAGATTATACTTACAAGCTGCTGCTCTAGTTGGTTGATTGTTTCATCCTTTTTCCTCAGTTCATCTTTAAGCTGCCTGATCTCGTTCAGCAGATCATCCATCTGCAACAGAACAGTGGTTTTGTGTAAGGACTGCATGATCTAAGGAACACCTCTACAGGACATGAGAGATCAGACATGCCTGCAGGAATGGCAGTGACACAGCACATGCTTTCCTCCTCCTAGTCACACAGAGAGAGGGGCTGCAGGCTTAAAGAATGTTAAAGAATGAAGAAACTTGACTAAAAGTCCCTTTAAGAGGCCAAATTCAGCTGACCCACTAAATTTCCAGGGTAAGTAGATCAGCTGCATTTTTGAAGCAGTAATTCATCTGTTGTGCAAACAAGTGACATTATGCAGATGAAAATGTCTAGTCAGCAAACACTACCTACAGTCCTCTTTATCAACAACAGAAATTACTGAACTCAGAACAAACATTAGACTTTAAGTGTTCTTCAACTTTATGAAGTATTTATAGCCTTGTTATATTTCCAGTAAGCAATGTTTCCCTCCTATAAATATAGAATTAGTGATCTTTGTATAGTGATTTTACAGTAAGAGTCAAGTAATGCTACAAAACCTTACCAACACAGAAAACACAATATCACAAGTCTCCAACTAGAAAAGATTATTCTATTTGCAATACCTACTGTGACTTCTTTGGCCTTTAATACCCATTCTAAAAAAACAGTAAACTTGCCCCTGACTTTGTGGGGTTCACCTAGGTTAGCATTTAAACAAAGAAAGAAGCAAGAAGCAGTACTTCAGTAACATACAAGCTTTGGGTGTGTTTTGCAAATATAAACAGGTTTGCATCTCCTATTCCTTAGAGTCAATCAATGTAATTTACCTTAAAAGTTGACTCAGGTTCTTGTGGTTCTGGACTTGATGGAACTGAGACTGTGATGTCCTGGAGTGACACATTTTCATCATTCTACCAGGGGACAAAGACAGGAATACAAGTTTGAATCACTTGTTGAAACATCAAGTTTCCTTTTTTCCCCCCTCAGGAAAGCCACCCTTGCTGCAGCCTGTGTACAATGCCCAGGTGATGCCCAGGCTACAGACACTTGCATTTCATTTCTATAACTTGACAGAACTTATATCTCAGTTTTTGGTGCTGTTTTGGTTTGGATGTGCTTTTGGGTTTTTTTTTTGTTTCTTGGGCTTTTATATAAATTGACAGTTAATTTTGAGAACAGTCAAGTTTACACTGTCCAGTACTCAGCTGTCATCAGCTCTCAAGTAGCTGCTTGTCCCTTCCAGGCCCATGGCCAGCAAATGAAAGACTGATGAAGCAGCAGTTTACACACCATGTTACAGAGAAGTTCTACCAGAGTGCTTTGAAATAATTTGCATAGTAATACCATAAAACACAAACATTAGTTAGTTCAAAACATTTGTAAACTGCTAGATGAAAAGTGAAGCAATTAGAATCCTAGGATTACTTTCAGTTTTACAAATTATTTTTTGCATATTTATATTGCATTTTATATTTATTGCATTTTATACACAATATTTATTTATATTTTAAATTTACATATTTTATTGTATTTTATATTTATCTTATATCCCCCAATTAAAAAGTTTCACAAACATTTTATTTTAAGCAATGATTCAAACAAATACACTCAGAAGTGAAGTCACAGATGGCCACAGTTACAACTGTGAAAGAGTCATCATGGGAATGGGAAAAAATAAAAAACAAGACAAACTATTTCAAGCAAAAGTATCTCACTTTTCATGACTTTTCAAAGCTCTGTACCTCCAATATAGCTTTTACTGCTATTAAAATGCAGGGAAGTGGAGCAGTAAGACATTCCACAACAGCAGATTAAGAGCTGATTGCAAAGAAGGTTAGTATGTCACACACCCCCTGGTGATTTAAATCAGTACTCCAGGCCTGTGCTCCACCTGACTCATTCACCAGCAAAGCAGGGACAAAGGTCATTGCAGCAATTCCCTCACCACTGCTGCAATTACCTCAGTACACAGGGAGAGAACACAGCACAACTGGAAAAGAACCAGTTCTAACTCTATCAGTAGGAAATCAAGCCTCCATTTGAACACATGCTAGGATTAATCTAAGAAATATGCCTTCTTGTGCTTTTTGTTTCTTTGTCATTACACTGCTAAAATGAAACAGGGGAAATCAGCAAAATAGAGCCATCCCTGTACAAAAAAAGATATTAGAATTACCAAAAAGATAATAGAATTAGCAAAGAAAATGCACCTGGTTATATGCATATGCTATTTTTGGTAGGCTAGAAATAACACTAAGAAGTATACCAAGATACCATCAAATTTGGAAACTTGGAGAGAATATCTGCTTTCAATCTTTTGGTGAAGATGCAATAAACTTTATTAAGGTATCACCACATTGCATATCACACTACAACAGGAAATACAGAAAACTGCTACTGCTAATATTCTTACAGTAACAGAACATATTATTTATTTTGGTAAATCACTTATCCAGAGCAGTGGCAAGTTTATCAGAGTCTACTGAATTTTTACCAAGGTCTAGGTTTTGATTCCCAATTCCAAGCTTTATTCAGTACAAATCACTGATCTGAACAGACTCCCTTGCTAAAGGCATTTCAATAATGATGTGAGCAGAAGCTGAGTGAAGTGTTCATCAAGCAGAGGGTGCTATTCACCTGCTGCCTGCCTGGCATTCTGAGTGCAGTTTATCCAGGCCACGTCCATCTCACTGCCACTGTCAAACCCTGTCACAGCAGCAGTCTGACAGTCAAACAACAGCTTCAACCTAGAATTTGCCAATTTGATTTGCTACTGTTTGTTCATCTCCTTTGGTTCTGTTTCTTTCAAGCACAATTAAGTCACTGAGGTGAACTATTTTGTGGCTAGTAAAAAATAATAATTGTAGAGGCAATTTATACAACTTAATGCATGACACAAAAACATCTTTTTATTTTGTAACTCTGTTTCTTTCTCAACTTCAGGCTTCTCATAAACAAAAATGAATCTCTCCTGTGGATCTCACCAGACACAAAAAAAAAGAACACAATGAATATGTATTTCAAAGATATACAAGTGACTTACTGATCTAAAGCCTCAGCAAAATGTACTGATGCATTTAACAAATCTGCACTACATGGTTCACATTTTCATTCACACCTCTTCATACAAATGGGCCATATCTGATAAGCTACAGTGAAGAGCTGTGCTTGAAAAATAGAATTTCATTTCCATTCATGAAAGATAAGTTGAAATGAAACATTTTTTATAAAACCTGCCTCCCACAGAAAAAGAGAGCTTCACAGATCTCACAGTTCTGTGAACTACTTCATGTTTCAGTCCTCCCTACAGGAACAGCAAGTGCAAGTGATGCAACTAAGTTGCATTGGGTTACTACAGAGGATGGTCAATCCTTGCAAAGATCAAAGGCTCAAGGGCAACAAAAACAGAAAACCTTTATTTAAAACAGTATTAACACATTAGCCTCCACCCAGAGCAGCAAGTTTATGAAATTAATTGAGGAGGAGGAAGAAGCTGTTAAGATCAGAAGAAAACTTATTTCTTAATAAGCATGCAAATGAAGTACCTTAGTCAATGTTTAAGAGGTATTAACATTTACATGTCAATTATTACTAGAATTAGACTTCCAAAACATTTTCTTCTTACAATACAAAGCTAGCACTCCAGTTAAGCATTAAAGAGAGAACAGTCTCCAGCAGTACACCTCTCTGCAAATATGGCTGCATTTAGTACAAGAACAAGCCACGTTTTTCACTCCATGTAGGTTGTTTTACATTACATTACTGAGAAGTCAGAGAGGGTTAGATTCACTACTGTGAAAATCTTCTAAGCTCTGTATGAGAGAGACTCCTATTGCTGATTTCACTGTCTGAGGGCACAGGAAGATGGCAGTGAGTGAGGAGTAAGCAGCCAGCACGTGTTCCTGCTCACACAGAGCTCAGCCAAGGCTCTGTTGCTCAAAGAACTATTTCTTTTTCCAAGCTGAACTGGGAATGCAGCACCAACCCCACACTGCTGCAGCTATGTTGCTAGCAATACTCCAGCTAATTTATATCCAGTCACAGCAATGAATCCGTACAGCACATTAAGTCTCCCCAGGAATCTGCTAGCTATACATTCATTACTTGCTAAGTCATGCTACAGCTGATTAGATAATTGTATAAAACTGAATTTAATTGCTAACTCTTCCTATTTTACTGTAACTGTTCCTCTGGGATTTGAGCCTAAGTCCTGACTACAGCTCTATTTCTACCTATCCAAATTAAATTTTATTGCTGAATGTCACAACTGGAGAAAGGTAACACATACATTTAAATGTGTAATACTGGTGGGGCTAATAGAAGAACTTCTGATTTCATAATAAAACTGGAGTTTGAAAACAATTGACTTTGTACCTTGATTTTTTATATTTTGCAAGAAGCTGCTTATGATCCAGTCCTAGTTCAGAGTTCAGAATGCTAAAGTTCAACTATTGGTTTTCAAAACTGTATTTCTGTTCAAGAACTAAAGAAGAATTGTGGCATTTTTACTCATTCCTGTTAGCATGAAGCACGATGTTTACAGTAAAGGCTTAACACTTTAATGTAATGAAAATATATTTCATACAAGTTCTGCCCTAATTGTTTAGCAATTTAGGTAGTAAAGGTCTGAAGTTTCCCCCTCTGTAGCAGGCTAATTTACTTTTACATTACTATTCATGTTCTTTGATTAAAAGATTGGATTATACACAGGAGAGTAGAATAAACATTCAGAAGTCCAGTGATGAGTTTGGAAGCAGTGAGTCAAAACAGGGTTGGTTTAGGTCAGGAAAATACAGTCAAGTATGCCTGACAAAGTGTGAAGGGAAGAATAATACCTGTTACTCACTGTTACAGGGAAGAAGGATCAGGCATTTGTCAAGACCAGGAGCAAATTTTGAAAAACCGACATATTAAGAGTAATTGCTTCATTCTGTGCATTTAAGTTCTTTTAAAAAAGTTAATCTGAGCTACTTGAGGCAAAGTTTTTATTCTGCAACCTGGCTATTATAAACTAGATCAAGATTTTACACATGATACTCTGCAGGGCCACACATTACTTGGCTATAATGTGCAGGCCTTTACACCCTGAACCACACACACAGTTCATCCATCAAGCTGCCAAATTGTTAAAGACATTATGTAAATTATTGACAATTATGTTAAAGACATTAGAAGTCCTAGATAAAGGTTCCCTGCCACCTATGTATTAATGCCTGGGGCTGTTGGGGGGCACAGTTTATGCAGCCCACCACTCAGACATTAGTTCTAAGAACACACCTTCCCTTCTGGCACTGCATCATTTTTGTTACAATGGTTTTTCCCCCTGACAAAATCAGGAATACATCTCAGCACAGCAAGCAAATGCTGTCATTTCTAAAAGGCACAATCACACCCATGAATTAGCCTCAAGGTTGATTTGCTTTCTGTTCTGTTGTTTTTTGTTTTAGTGCCTGACTTTTAAGGCACTAAGTTATTTTCATTACATTATCCTATTAGAAAAGAACAGCAATGAATCTGGTATTAAAAGACAGTATCACACACTTTTCAATGCTCATCTGTGTATGCCTCCAAAGAAAGCCTCATGGACTGTTCTTTATTATGGTAACAAAGAAATTTTTGTAGCTGAAATGCCATACTTCTGCTGAGTCATCCAGCAGTTTACCAACTCCCATAACTTGCCAAGTTTTGAGGTACATTAAAAAAGCTCCTTAAAAGCTTATGACAATTTCATAACATAGGAAGGGTAAATTTGAACACTTCCAATAGAGATGACGCAGCAGGATTTGCTAAGCTTGTTGTCAAAACATAAAGATGAAAAGAATGAGGAAAACAAAGCCTTAAGAAAAAGCTAATAACATTGACATGCTGAATGCAAGTTTGATCAGTGGGATCAATTTTAATATTTTATTTTTTTTAACTCCCGGATTTTTTGAATCTTATTGGATAAAAGCTGGTTTTCACATGTGCTGATTTTTTTTTTAATTTGACATTTCCTCAGAGAAGAAAATCTGTGAATAAATTAGTGAATAAATATTACTTGTCAATAAAATGGTGAAGAAATATTAAAAATTTTAGTATCTAGCATGTTTTGTAGTCAGTAAAGTGCTGACAAGACAGAAAAGGCACTACTGCAAACAGCAATAAAAGGTATAATCACTTTCTGGGACATTGTAACTCAATGTACAGATGAAATGCCAATATCCTAGTAAGGCCAAAGAGTACATAAGTCCACCTAGGCCCAGTCCCCAGTTTATTTAATGCCTTAGTCCCTGTGTGTAAGAGTCTTAATCAGACATGTGGGACTCTAGGAGGCTCTTCAAAATGCAGTTTATTACATCTAAGATGTTACAGCAGTCAAGGGTCGTGGGTGACAGAGCCTGTGCCTACAGCTGTCAGCTCTAGCTGCAGGCAAGCTTACAGACTTTTAGTTTAAGTTACAAATATATTATATACTTTTCTTTGCTGAGCATCTTAATACAGTAGGACTAATCTATACTTTAACTTTTATCTATAGCTAATCATAACTACTGTAATTACTACATTCATATTATTCTCTAATCACTAAAAGTTAGTACATTACAATTTAAGCTAGAAGTTGTTTTTCAGTTTTCTTGCAGTAGAAAATTCTGAGAACTTTTTTCTTCTTGCAACATTTGCTGACTTGTTTGCCTGTGCTATCTTTCTGCTTAGTAAAAACATCTTGTTTAAAGTTTTGCTCTAAGTCATAAAACCCCCTTCTAACTAAGTTACTCTTTGCCTGTTTAGTTATCCAGTAAGACTGGCTCAACAATTCTTTTCTTCTATATTAACACCTGCTTCTATCTCCATTCTTCATTCAGATTCTACGTTGAAAAACCTTTCTGCTAAGCACACCCATCTGTGAGACTTTCCTGCCAAGCTCTGATGCTTCCCAGCAGCTGAGGAGAGCCCACCTGGTGCAGCAGCCTCTTGAGGCGGAGGAGCTGTGTTTTGACGGCGGTGCAGTCCTGCACCATGTGCCGCAGGGTCATCTCGTCCAGCATCACCGTGTTCTCCGCCAGCGCCCGCGGCGCCGCGCAGCCGCCGCCCGCCCCGCAGCTCTCCAGCACACCCACGCCAGGCTCCAGGTAGCTTGAACCCCTAAAAACCCAAAAACAAACACACAGAGGTGACAAACTGGAGCTACACAGCGGTTGGTAAAAAGGAAAGTTATGCAATGTGGGCTATACTTACGTATTGTGGCACACAGCAGAAAATAAATTAATAAATCAGAAAATGTCAATGCTATTTCACTAAAATACAGAGTTTTCCTTTCCACTCCCAGAGACCACTCAGACTATAAAGCACAGTGCCCTAAAACTAGTTACTTCAGCAGAATTTCTATAAACTGTCATTCAACCCTTTAAGGACTAAAAAGTTACATTGACTTTACCAACAAATTAAACTGCAAAAAGCTGCTCAAACTTTAGTAAAGTAGTAAAACATTGCAGTGGTTTTCCATGGAACACATAAGCTATTTTAATCAACATGTATAATATTGTTATATTGTTATTGTTATTTAACAATATTGTTATTAACAATATTGTTATTGTTATTTAATCAACATGAGCAACAAGTACTTGGACTGAAAACAGAAGCATAAGTTTTGAAAAGAATTTGTTACAACCCTCGGTGGTGCTTCCACTTAGACATACTATTCAGAAAATGTTGTACTTGTACTCAGTATCACTTGAGATCCCTTAGTGCCAAAAAGGAATTGCTCACTGGTGCTTTAAATGTTTGTGAGGATATAGAAAAGTGCTTTACCTGTTCAAATCATTTTTACCATGGATATAATGGTCAGTATGGCCAAGATGATAGTGCTCCTGTGTATTCCATCGCTGTTGTGGTGCTCTTTTCCAGAATCCCTCTTGATGCTGTCTCGCATTTCTGTCTTGTCTCTCATAGCGGCTCATATTTTCACATTCCTCTACAGAGAGCATAATGGTAAAAAAAAATCATAAGACTTGTTCCCAGGACATTGCAAATAAAATATTAACTATGTGCTGGTAGCAGATGCAGTGTAAAGTCTGTGGGGCTTGTTTTGGTTTTTGTTAACTGATCCAAAACAGTATGCATTTTACAAGTGTCAAGTGGACTTCTGCAGCAATGTCACATTTTTATTAAAACATAAACTTGTTACAAGAAAAAGAGCAACCTGTAGCAGAAACTGAAGAATCCAGCTTTAACAGTATTTCCACTCTTGACAGAAAATCATTTGAAGTAGGTAGAGATTATAGAAGAAAATAAATTTAAAAAATAACAATTTCCTGTCTCTCTTACTGATGGTATCTCCAGGCCTTTAACAAGTTCTAACAATACACAAACACAGAAAGGCAACATTGCAAAAAAAGGCCAGGATTGCATTGCAAGAACAGCTTCGTTACTTAAAATACAGATATACCTCCTCCTATTCACATGGCTTGGTTTTCAGATTCAGAGACATTAAATCTGTATTTAACTGGACAACCAGCATGATTTAAAACAGGGAAACCAAACAAGCTCTTCAAAACACCAACTTCTGCAAAGCCACAGGAATTCCACAAACGTCTTAAGGGAACAAACGCTAAATTTGGCAACAGCCCGGAAACGACTGAGAGAAAGCCAAAACAACTTCTACCCAGGAGTCAGACCCGGCAAAAACAGTCCCAAAGTGCTATTGTGCCACCACACCTGGTCCTTCACTTACCCAAGGAGCTTTCCCTCACATTGTCAGTGCTTTCCTGGCAGCAGCTGCACGCAGGGGAGCAGCGTTTGCCCCCCGAGCCCTGCTGCGCACGCGGCTCCGAACGGGCCCTGCTTCCCGCTGGGTTCCCAGCCTGCGTGGGGCTGCGAGCCAGCCCGGCGTCACCCTGTGATTTACACGGCCCTCCTCACTCCCTGCATGCTTGTGCAGCTACCACTGCTGCTAAAAATAGTGGCCAAGCAGCATCCCAGGCTCCAAAGTGAAACCAGGAGAGTTTCTGAGGACCTGGAAAGTCTTAAGAGGCTGACGTCAGTGAAGTCACACATAATTATGGAAAAAGTGTTGGCAAAAAGTGCTGTCAAACATTACTAGAACAAGTACTCACACCTCCAATTTAGTTTTTATCACCTAGCAAATAACCAAAAAATTGCATAATAAAATAAACTTATTCACCTTAACTAACAACATTTATTTTCCTTTAGCCGTGTCTTTCTACAGCTCGTAACATATGAAAATTAATAACAAAATAAGCGCTCAGTAAGTTTACAAGCAATTATGATTTTCAGCTTAGGAAAAGTAAATACTGAGACACTGAGTAAAGACAGGTGGAGATTAACCAAGAAGTTGTTTTGCTTTTTCAAGTGGTCATGTTTACATAAGGGAAAACCTGGAGGTGGTTTTTGAATTCTTATTTTCAGATCCTCTTTGCTGAAAATACAAAATTTTCAAGATAAGAAGCAGAGATACCCTATTTATGCCAGGCTAATTTTATAAGGAAACCCAACCTCTAAAAAAATGTCAAAAGTGGCAGTAATTAGCTTTTAATGTTTTTGTGGTAAACATTTACCTTTATAAACATGCCCTTCTAGCAGTTTTCAAATTAATAATTTGTAATGGAATTACTGATGCAAATGCAGTGCATGTTTCATATAAACAAGGAAACTTAGGAGAAATTGATCTACCCTTTAAAATTGTTTTTTAGTTTTTTCCCAAAAGAATTAAATTACTCCCACTGAAAGAATATGCCTTAGGCTTGCATTGTTACCCATTCTGGAAAATGAGTAAAAAAGTAAAAATCTCCTACCTGTCAGGGTTGAAAAGTTGCATACTTGCACTGTTGTCAATCATTTCACACAAGCACTTTGAACAACGCATTCTGAGATTTAAAAGATTATGTACTGCACTTCACACGTGCCCAACATTAGAATACAATTTGTCACCATCATCATAGATGGAAAACTCTGCTTTATTTACTGCAAATTTGGCTTCATATCTAATAGACACACAGGAGTCTTCACCCAGATAACTCAGAGGTGCTCTCAAAAACCCCTGAATTTACTTCAGCAAGCAGGTGAATGTTACACAAAATAAGTAAAGCCCTCTTCCTTTCAGGGCCTGTTTGCACTGGGTAGGGCCTGACAGTGCTCCACATTCAGTGTTTCTGTATTTGAAGACAGACTGCCCTCCACTGAACTTGCAGGTGAAACTAATACCCATATTCACATAGCAACAGCTCATAATAACAACGATACTCATCAGTCCCGTGAGTAGCTCAAGAATAAGCAAAGCCTCAAACCTTTCCAGTCTGAGATTTGGGAAAGTGCAGCCATAATTTTCTTTACCAGGTTCATTGTAATCTGAATTTGTTCTATTTCAGGGGCATCTAGGTACCTCTGCCTTCTCTGTGAAAAGTCTGCCAGCACCCTCACTGAACATAAGAGTGCATAAAACACAAATTGAAAACATAGATCTTAAATTTTACATCTTCTGCTATCCTGAAGTGTATGTATATCTATTAGGAGATATTGTCATTTTGTAGAAGAAAACAATTATTTATCAAAGAATTACCCTGTCATTCACCAAAGCTAAAAAAAATAAAATACTGTCCCAGCATTTTCAAATATAGCTGAATGATGAGACTGAAAGGCTAACTTAAAAATTTGGAATTTATTCTATAGAAATAATCCTAAGGAAAAAAACAGTATGAAACAAGGTTGCATTTTTATTCAAGGTAGTACACTTCAATATTCATAATTTTTCAAATATAAGAGTTGTATTTGGGAAAACAGAAATATCGCCCTTCCTGTATTTCACAAAAGAAAGAGTTGCTACTTTAAAAAAAACACAACTTGAAGAGTGCATTAACTTATTAAGCCAAGAGTCAGAAGAAAGCAAGTCAAAAGTCTCTTAAGGCCATGATCCAGTTTCACAGTGAGAGTGCCTGGCTGCCTTACTCACCTTTGTCACGAGGTGGGTCCTCGGGCAGGTCCACATCAAGCATGAGATCATCATCTTCAAGATCACATGAATCAAGATTATTCAAGATATCCTGCAAGAAAGGAAAAGTGAGATATAGCTGGTTCCACAATACTTCATACACCCTACTATCACAAGAAGCTTTGTTACACTTTTATTGTGCACACATTCAATGTTACCAGCAGCCTCCTCTCCTCAGGGAAGATCAGCCCTATTTGAGACCATCTATACAAAGAACAATCATCACACCTCTGCAAATACAACACAGTAACAGTGCTAGATGAAACAAAGATGTATTAAAACATTTTTCAGCCTGATGCCTATGGAACATTCCAAAGACTTTTTTATTCATTAACATCCTGCTTTCTCAGCAGTTGGGAGCATTTTGAAACTCAACAACTTTGTTTACTTGGAATTCAAAAACAGCTTTGTGAAGAGAGGATGTTAATTCCTCTTATTTCAGCTCTCATATTATCACAAAATCATTGAAAGGAAGTGAGAGAAACCTATGTTATCTTGACTTTTTGGGACAACAAAGATTCAAACATTGTATTATGAGCACCAAACTCTGCTTCTTTTTGCCTTTCAGATTGTGGTTCATATAAAGCTGTTCCTGAAGGGACTAATAAACCATCACATTGCATGAGTATGCTAATGGCACAAGAAAAATGCTATTTAGTGCTAAATGAATTATACATATTAAATATAGGCAGGTATATTAAAGGACTGCAATGAGGGCAAGCCCAGTCAGTGTTTTAAAAACAGAGACTGACCCCTCTTGCTTTAAGAATACCAAGAGGAGGAGGAAGTGAGGAGGTCAGGGCCGTGGAACACCCAGCTCATGGCTCAGTCAGACACTGCCAGTGCTGCTGGAAGCCACAGCAGCCTGGGCAGAGAGCCCAGACACCCTTTCACTCCAGCACTCCAAGGAAACTAAACCATTAACACCAAGAGTCTGTCACACACAGCAGGCCTGAGCAAGCTCCTAGGGGTATCCAGCTCCAGCTCCTGAGCTCCCAGTCCAAGTCATTCCTTTAAGGCCTGAGACCAGACTCAGGCACCACATTGGCCTCTTTCCTAATAGCAGAAATACAGATTTTTCTTAGGTTTACTGGCTACACCTAGAAGTGATGCCTGGCACCAATATTGTATAATTTACCAAATATTAAATCAAATAAGTGTTTTATAATTATTTCTCATAATAAATTGATCATGAAATACTTACATAAATACTGGCATACAAGCTATGAGCACACTGCCCAACAATATTCCCTAGCAAAGCCACCACTTTGCTGGCTGTCATTTGTTAGATTTGCTTTGTCACAGATGCACAGGTGAAAAGGAAGAACATTAACAGGCATTTGTCTGAAATGTTGCTCCAGCTGTTCCTCAGCAGCCTTCCTACAGCACTCACAAAGCACTACTGTATTTTATTATAAATGCTGACAAGAGCTAAGTATATTTTAAGATTTTTGGGGGGATTTGGGTTGTGACACAGGACATTAAACATCTTGCATTTCTGCAGGGCAAGTTATTTATTGACTTAGGAGGGAGAGTGTGATATGAAAATAGTTACTATGCTCTTTGTAAAACATGAGCAATACAAAAGAAAGATGAATACTTGAGACAAAACCACCTGCTTTTGTCATATTTCAAAGTCCTATCTGAATTGCTTTGTCCACAAATAGCATTCTATGCATTTACAACAAAAATCAGGAAAACCCACACAGCAAGACATTGGAAATAATAATAAATCCAACTATGAAAAAGCTTCACAAAAAAATGGAAGCCATTTAAATGAAACATGGATTTAATATTTGGGACAACAAAATGCCTGTATATTTTTGCTAATTTTGCTTCCATTTATTCAGGAACCAGGAATTTTTAAACTAATGCATATTTTTTCAAACAATTCTGCAAAATACAGGCATGCTTGAGAGGTAGTTTCAGTTTGCTAGTTGATAAATTATTTCTATGCCATGCTTTCATCTTCCAAATTAGTGTGAACAAGCATTATTTTTTCCTACTGCAAGAACTTTAAAGAGCATGACAAATAAAATGGAAATAGTGGCCACAAACACAAAAAGTGGAAAAGCTTTGCCATCACTGTGCAAATGCATTTAAAAATGCACAATATAAAAGCACAATATGCCAGAATTTTTACTAGTAAACCTAGATAAGCCACTTTACTATCTTTGAATGAGAACTTTGGAAGTGTAATGGTGTCATAGAAGGTCAGTATTTGAGATTCCAGACATACTTTCCTGTCAACAGCACACTTCATTATGCTTCCCTAATTACACATTCTTCACCACACTGAGGAAAGGAAACTCCATGCTACAAAAAAAAACCCCCACAACTGCAAATACCAAGACTTTGTAATCACTGGGCCATGTGTGAATGCACTTTGAGCATTTCCCCCTGTGAGCTACTTGGGAAACACAATATACAAAGAGGTCTCAGCAATGTCATCCTGAAATAGCCATAAGATAAAGTACAAGTTTCATCAGCACATTAGTGCATGTAAAAAAATAAAATTCAGATACTTCCACTATTATTCTTTCTACTGCATAAGGAACTGCAGGTAATTACATGGGAATAACATAGTTAATAATGTGTGCTTAACAGCAATTAGCATCATGAAGTGATTCAGGGCAATGAGCTCAAACAGAACAGGAAATAAAGAAATTCTTTCCAAGTGTATCAGCTCCAACCCTAGAGAATATTACATGTTCCAGCAATTATTGCAAGTCACAGAAAAACAAGAATCCCATTCTATTTGTATAGGTGAAAAGAGCAATGTGTATTAAAAGGGGTATGATTTTCACAAGGCTGATTCAGCACTAGATTTTCAAGCTGGTACAACCTAGGAAGAGATTGAGTTTGGGACTGTGAAATCCCAGGTCCAACTACAGTGCTGTCCCCAAGCTCTCTCTCCACAAAGCTTTTCCACTGGACACAGGCAGCAGTGCTTTGCTGGCTTCCTGCAATAGAACAGGGAAAGCAGGAGGTGAGACAGGTCAGCTGTGAGTCCTGCTGTAAGAACTGAGGAACTCGAGCACACCAGTGCAGGGAGCCCTCATACTGCACAAGGAGAAGGGAAAAGGCTCAAAGGGCAAGGCACATGTGACATACCACTCTCAGCAAGTTCATTTCCATATTCTGCAAATCCTTTCTGGAGTGGTTGTCCTCAGATGCTGTGTTTTGCCACAGGTTCAGCAAGCACACACAACAGCTGACCCACCACAGCTTGGGATTTAACCCAATTTGTTGGAGGCATGGAGCCCAGCAGCCCTTTCTGGAGAGGCATACAACATCAAGACCTCTGCTTTGAAGCTTGGGGAACTCAATGCAGAAGAGCTGCTTTTGCTGATGCAAAACTTCCGACGTCATTATAAAGTTCACCATAATGAACTGGAGTGCAAAATATTCTTCTCAAAAAGTTCAGTTTCCAAAAATTCCTCATGCAACATGCACCATAAGCTTTTTCTTAAACTGAAGAGTGTTATTTTTCAGTCCACCAACCAATCTGAGTTCAATTTAGCTTAACAGCTGAACCTAGGTAAGAGGTCTGATTCTCAGCTTTCCCACTTCTTGCACTAAGTATTGTAAGATTATAATACAACCACAGTAAAGCACAAAGTGCCCAAAATAGAAGACAGATATATATCTGCATTTTCTCCCTATTTAACATAAAAATGTTGACCAGTGAAAGTTTATAACACAATGTATATTACAGTGGTATTAAAAAAAAAATGAAGTCAGGCATTGAGGTTAGTGCAGAAATGCAAAGCCTTCAACTCATTTCAGAGAGCATTACCAGAACTGAGAAGAGCCTGAGCTCCAAGTACCTATGCCAGTTTAGGATATTCTGCAGGAAAAGCAATTGCTTTGAGGGAGTCATAAACTGGTGGTGAGCATTAGGAACAACATTTTACCTGTTTCCATAACTCACAATCTCAGACCTCACTTGTTTAGGAAGCAGACAGCTAAGGAAAAATAACTAATTGTTTTTATTACTGATTTAGTGACTTAGGTCTTGCTTTTGATGATGCTGAAAAAAGACCACAGTAGAAGATAAGTGTGAGTAAAGGGAAAGAACTACAGGAGAATCAGGCCAAAAAACTCAAGTGAAGCATTTGAGAGCAGCACCAGCACTGAAACTAAGAAACCATCATTTCAGGTTCTTGAGGACTGAAAAAAAGGAAGTGGCTTTTAAAAACAGACAGAAAACAGACTGAGTAAATCAGTCATCTGAAGGGCAGCTAAAGAATAACTGCCAAAGTCAAACACAAGGCAAGGCTGACACAAGAGAAGAGGGAAACCTCCAGGGTCTTTTTCAATGCTATATTCAGCATTTGACAATATCTGAGATAGAGATAAAAAAAGAAATAGGAAGTCTCCAAAAAGGCAATGTTATATAGGAACTGAACAGAACTCTTAAGTGAAGGCAGAAAACACAGGCAGAGGAAAAGCACATAGTCTACTATAGGGCTGAAGAGAAAAACCCACTGTAAATGAAGGCCTGAAAACAAAGAAAACCACCCAGGGAAGAGGTGGGATAGAACTCTGCAGGTTACCAAAGACAGGATAGGAAAGGAGTACACTGTACAAGTCACATTGAAGATAAGTAGGCCAAGCAGCCAAACAAGTACTTTGTAATTTTGTCCATGCTCTGTAACCGAAGGTTGCTGTGGCAACACATGTAACAACAACTTGGTTTGGAAAATCCAAAACATTTTTGGTTTAACTGTTAAGTAGAACGGTCTTAGATTTACTGTTCTTGAAAACATTTTTATAGAGACATTGTATGTTCTACTTAGATTTACTGAAGGTATAGAGGGATTCATTATTAGTTTAAATTATTACATATTGCATCGAAAGCATCTGTACTTGCTGGGTTTTTAATTTTTTTTAAATATATAAAATGAGATGTCAGACTGTGTAAAAAAATCTGAAATTCAATAACACAATGAAAGAAGAGAAAGAGGAAAACCAGAAATATTAGCCATTCTGTTGAGACTTGACCAATTCATAAGCCACAGCACTTTCAAGCACACAGCCCAAGCAACA